AATTTTCATAGATTTCATTTGTAAACTCCCTACCCTATCTCTGTATTTTTTATAAAAATCTATTAATGATAGTGTCTGGTTGTGGGTCCAAGATATACTGACTGAAACACTTGTCGCTGGGTTTTGGTTTACAATTATAAACTCTTGTAAATCTGAAACAAATGTAACCTTTAAATGCCGTTTAGAAAAACGAGTTTCATTATTTTGTTAAACTTTCACTTTAGACGAAGTTATTGTTTTGAAAAAAGGTAAGTAGTACTTACCTTCCATATTAGAAATCTATTTGTTTGATTACAAAAATTATGAATCTCGATATTAACCAAAAATATTAGGTTAGGTTATATTAATTTAATTTCGATAATCAGCAAATCGTTCGTGCAGCATAAATTTTGACAACGGTCAGAAAACAGTCTAATTTCACGTCTGCGCAGAGTGCATAGTTTACAAACGGTAAGCAAACCACTGCAGAAACAAACCTATAATATAATATTATAATATTACTTACGCACATGTCCTACTGTTGCCATGTATTTATTGCTGAGTTGCGATTATGTACAAGAGAAATTTACGGATATCGTTAAAAAACAGATTATTTTTGAGAGCAACAGTAGGACAACTAACTTTTTTTCCAAATTATTTTTAACTTTTTTATTAATTAATATAAATTGTTATTTGACACATGTAAAGTTAGGTACTCAAACAAAATTCCACGTAAATCCATTCAAATATAAAAAAGTTATTAATTACTGAAGTTTCGTAAAATTTTCAAATGCGTTTTTCTCGAAACTTCATTATTTTACATATCCTACTGTTGCTTTGAGGCAAACATATCATTAAATTCGTAATGTATCATTTATGGGGCACCTATGGGTTGAAATTTTCCTAAAAGCGTGTGTCCCCGCGAGTTAAAGAAAAGTATACTTTTATAAAAATATTTGCCACATTAGAGGAAATTAAGAATAATTAATCAATAATTACTAAACATTATGAAAAAGAACGTTATACTAATTACCGATAACATAAATTGACCAATACTGAACTTACATTTAAGCATATAAGTATCGGGAATAAACAAGATAATATGTTATTATATCTCTCACTGTGTATGAATCGAGGGTTCTGGAATTTCTAAGAGGCTTTTAACACTGAATAATTTATTTTAAGAGCTGACACCTCTGTTAAATAGTAATGTTTGTTATACGTACAGTAGGTAAGCAACAATATTATTTTCTCATGCTAAGTAAGTATAAAAATTACGTGACCAAATATTTATCATGTCTAATATATATATATATATATATATATATATATATATATATATATATATATATATATATATATATATATATATATATATTCCCAAAATTCGCAAAAGATTTGAATTTGCCGCCGTTTATGCAAAAAATATTAATAACAACAAAATAAAAACAGTTTCACAGCTGACAGTTTATGGTTAGTTAAAATGTAGTATTACATAAAAGAACAATGATGTTTTATTATCGAACATAACAGCATTATTACAAATAATGAAAGTTTGGTGGTCACAATTCGAAATCAGGGAGGCTGGATCAATTGGTGACGGTAAACACACTGGTTGTTAAAAAACAAGCCACTCAAATCTCAATATCAAAGCAGTATGTGGGAGTTTTTATGAAAGTCCAGGGATATCAATTCGGTATTGTGGACAAGAATTACAAATTTCCAGAAGCTTTCTACAGCAAATACTCAGTGAAGATCTGCATCTGCATGCTCATAAAGTTTAATTGACAGAAGAATTAAAGCCTAATGACCATGTACAGCGAAGAAAGTTTGTTTAATGGATTATTGAACTACTGGTTGAAGATGCTGATTTTTCGAGCGAAATCATCCTAAGCAATGATGCACATTTTCACCTTAATGGCTATGTTATTCCTCAAAATTGCCGCATTTGGGGTTCTGAGAACCCATATGTCACTGTCAAAAAAATACATTCATAACGTTACTCCTTGGACTGGAGGCATCATTGGACCATACTTCTTTGAAAATAAGCACGGAATGTCACTGGTGCTCAATATCACAACATAAGAGAGTTCTGGCTGCCTAAATTTGATAATAATAATGTGGACGACATGTGTTTTTAACAAGACGGTGCCAAATGGCATACAGTCCGTTGAAACAATTCAATTACTGCATAAGACATTTTACATGGAATCATTTGAAATCAAAGGACTATGAAAACAAACCTACAACCACCCATGCCTTAAAGAAGAAAATTCAACGCTGCATCAACGAAATTTAGCCACACTTGGAAAATGGTCATGGAATATTTTAACAAAAGAGTGGGTATATGCCAACAAAGTTGCCATTCACCTAATGTACTATTCCATACATAACTCTGTTCTATGTATGTTGTTTTATGATTAAATAAAAAATAAAAATCTAAAGAAAAAAACAGTGTTTCTCCAAATCTCCAAAATATAAATAAATTTCTATTAAAACTTATTAGAACTATTAAATTATCTGAATAAAATATTTTAAATATACAATTGTTCACTCTAATATTATCATAGAAATTCAATACTTACTAATAACGAACATCCGTACGAACTAAGTAAATCACCTAAAAATTTAGTTTATGTAACTCTAAATACAATGCTCATAATAAACAAAATTCTTACGCTTCACGAAAATCCTTACACAACCTTTAAGATTTACCCAATTCCAAATTAAGATCATGTCATGATATTATCACCTACAAAATATTGTTAGAAACATGCACTCGACGTGGCCCGTATAACGGTTGCACCGCGAGATGACTAGAGGCTTCCAGATGATTCGAGCGCAGGAGATATCGACCCGTCAAGCAGGCGAGTTAGAGGTGGGCTGCTCCAGAGTGTTCTAGTACATGATAACTTTTATATATAAGCAGACCTTCTATGAGTTAAGTTTAGTAGATAAGATATTTTCGTGCTGTAAACTTATAAATAAATATATTTATATAAATTCGAACCTCATGTTTTATTTAATCTCGCTACAATATTATGTAGACAACAAATGGTTAGACAGCTATATTGGACAAAGCGACAAGATAGTCTATTCCAGCCACATACAGTCCCAATGTAATTTACCCAATGTAGATAATTGCACAAAAACTCACGAAGTTACAGAGAACTTTATCCAAGAAACTAGCAAAGCCGTATTGCTAAGAATAGTTCATCCAATAAAAATCCAGCAAATAGAAATAAAATCAATTTAGCATTCTAATAACAGAAGAACCAATATTTATCGAAGGAATTAATTTTACCAAAAAGACGTCTCAAGACATTTCACTTTCAATGATTGTTAAAATAAAACTTGATCTGAACACAAGACGAAAATTGAGAAATTGAGGAAAAAATCCCAGATACACATGGTCAAGCCTTTAGAAGCTATAGATATACTAGGTCAGCTAGCCTAGATCCAGATTTTAGAGGAAATAATAGTCGTGGTAACTAAGACTTCAAGGATAAAGTCTGAACCAAAGGATGCTAAAGAAGAGCCTCGACTATGATGAATTAGCAAAAGTCAACTATCGAGGGTATAGAAGGAAGAAAAACCGATTATTAATTACTATTTCTTATTACACACTAATTTCATTATATATATATATAATATATATATATATATATATAATATATATATATATATATATATATATATATATATATATAATGAAATTATTCTCATTATGATCAAATTATTCTCGACCGTACTGTGTTAAATATTATTTGTAGTCTCAGCAATTGGTCTGTATGAAATAAAACTCTATTTGTTATTTCTCAATATTTCGTCACAACTTTGTGACTTCTTCAGGAGAAAACTGTAAATTTATTATAATTATTATATGTAAACAAAATGAATATTTCAATACTTACAACTTAAGATTAAAAATTTAAATTTTGATAACATATCCAATTAGATGCGCAAGCGGTAGTGTGCTTGCCTCGCATGCCGGTGGTCGTGAGTTCGAATCCTACCGCCGGCAAGAACAACTAGGCATTTTTAAAAAATGTCTATAGGCCCCAGGTCGACTCAGCCTGAATAAAATGAGTACCTTGGGTAAAACCAGGAGTAATAATAGGCGGTTGAAGCGTAGCACTGGCCATGTTACCTTCCTTGTATACCGTAGGCCCTAGATATAGCAGACTACCCTGCTATACTCCCAAAGCCGCGTGCGGTATAAAACGGGAGACTATTATTATTATATCCAATTAGATAAATGACATTTTTTGATTTTTAATTTATTTGGGAGTTATGGCAACCGCAATATTTTTATAGAGTGAATTCCCATTGTACAATTTTTTAGCGAATAAGTTTTAATAAACAATTACATATTGTGACAGTATTATCCATATAATAAGGTGGAAAAGTAGAATATTGAGAAAGAATCAGGAACATGGTAAATTGATCTATAATCTTAAATAACTGACTACGTACCATCAATTACATTTTATAGATCAATTTACCATGTTCCTGATTCTTTCTCAATATTCTACTTTTCCACCTTATTATATGGATAATACTGTCACAATATGTAATTGTTTATTAAAACTTATTCGCTAAAAATTGTACAATGGGAATTCACTCTATAAAATATTGCGGTTGCCATAACTCCCAAATAAATTAAAATCAAAAAATGTCATTTATCTAATTGAATATGTTATCAAAATTTAAATTTTTAATCTTAAGTTGTAAGTATTGAAATATTCATTTTGTTTACATATAATAATTATAATAAATTTACAGTTTTCTCCTGAAGAAGTCACAAAGTTGTGACGAAATATTGAGAAATAACAAATAGAGTTTTATTTCATACAGACCAATTGCTGAGACTACAAATAATATATATATATATATATATATATATATATATATATATATATATTATATATATATATATATATAAATGCTATTAGATTAGATTTTCTTATATTTTGATAAAATTTTTATTAGGTACTATGGTATTCATTTACTTAAGCAACTCACTTACCTTTCTTTAATATTGAACTAATGTATGGGTTTTGCCCTCTAGTTTCCAAAGAAGAACAATTCCATCTGTTTCCGTGAAATTGATATTGGCATTCTTTGACAGCTTGGTTCAGTCCTTCCAGAGCTACCAAAGTGGCATCTGGCTGTTGATAACAAAGTTCTATCTGTGCTTTGGTTAGGCCAGGTACTGTTCTGCAAATAGTGGTGTCCATATATATACTGTAGTAGGAGAAAGTTTGTTGCTTGACTGAAATTTTTGCTTCAACCATCCTAAAAAAAATTAAGTTTTTTAGTAGTTTGAAGATGAAAGAAATTATAATGAATTCAGTTTTTATATTTATAATTATTTATACAAAATTAACTGATTTATTGAATAAACTCGGATTTAATTCTGAAATTTGGCAAGTTTTGGAGGGATATAAAATAAAATAACTATTGACCAACATGTCAGCATTTTAACTTCATTAAAAGTTTATATGGTAATATCGAAATCAACACAAAATGTCCAACATTTATATTTACATAATGAAATTATCGATCGAGTTAGCAAATACAAATATTTAGGCACTTTTATAAATGAAGACAACGATAGCTCAGCAGAAAACAAAATAGGAATAGAAAATGTGCTGCGTTTTAAAGATAAACATAAAATTACAGTAAATATACCAATATTTTATGACTGTGTTTTAATATGAATAAAATTGTTTAAGCATACAAAGTAAAACCCACAAATTGCTATAAGATGATCTATTGAATTGTAATAAATTAGTAAATAAACAAAACATCACTTACATGCCGGTACAAGAATTAATCATTAATGATTCGGAGAACATACTTCAAACTATCCTGTATTGCTGATAATGGGCGATCTTCGGGTTTTCTGTTGTAACTGTTTAATAATTAGGGGCCAAGTTTCTTTAGGGACAAGATGTTAACAAATGAAATAGGAATAAGGTATAATGTGATTATTTGTTAAATAAAAGTGATGTTTTATATTATTTAATTTATTAAAAGTTATTTATATTTATTCAAAAGATATATTTTAGAAATGTGTGTTAATTTATTGAAATTTTTATTACAGGAATAGTTGTATGATAATTAATAAAATTAGATGTACAATTATGTGGGTGAGCAATTCCTTTAACTTATAATTATCAAATTTCTTTGATAAAGTTAAAGTTGATTACTGTTTTGGCAGATAATTGGTATGACAGATATATGTTAAAATTATTAAAACTAAAACAATTAAGGACACTTAGGGACAAAAATAACACAATTAAAAGGGTAAAACAGACATTAAATTTAAAAAAGGGGGACTTATTGGCACTACATCGCTTAGTAGGGCAGAATCTGAAAAAACTGAGTTTTTTGTTGTCTACTAGACTTTTGAGGTAAATTTGAGCTACATTAGCTTGTCAAACTAATATTGCACTGCAAGATACCGGACGCGTGGAGAAACAGCATAATGATACCAATGTTCAAGAAAGGAGATAAAGTTGACCCCAACATTTATACAGGTATAAATCTACTAAACATCGCACTTATGGCTATCACAAGAGTCTTAACCAAAAAAATCAATAAACTAACAACTTTATCAGACGAACAACAAGGATTCAGATCCGAAAGACCCTGCGTAGACGCCGTATTTGTAATAAGACAAATCACAGAAAAGGCCACTTATACAAAAGACGTCTAAACCTACTGTATAATAGAAAACGAAGTCAGACAGGGTGACTTGTTAAGCCCACTTCTCTTTAATATAATAATGGATAAAACAATACAAGCAGTACGTAAAGGTCATGGCTACAGAATGGGGAACAAAGAAATCCAAATATTATGTTATGCAGACGACGTCGCATTAATCGCCGAAACAGAAGACGAGCTCCAAAGATTAACACATATCTTCAATGCAACATCCAAGAAATACGATATGACAATATCAGCAGAAAAACCAAATGTATGATAACATCTAAATATTCACTACGATATAAAATCAAAATTAATGAAAAAATAATAAAGCAAGAAGCAAGGTTTAGATATCTGGGAATAGATATAACTAATTACGAAGATGTTGAAGAAGAAGTAGGACAACAAAGCTTAATCTATTTATATTCTATAAAGCAGCAATTAGACCTATATTAACATACAGGGCGAAGACAAGACCTGATACATCGAAAACGAAGCGACTATTAGAAACAACAGAGATGAAAATATTCCGACGAATCTCAGGGAAAAGTCTGTTGGATAGGGAGGGAAGCGAAAACATAAGAAAAGCATGCAATATAGAAGACATAAATGGATGGATGACAAAATGGAAACAGAAGTGGAACAAATACATTAGCAGAATGACAGAGGATAGGATAGTACGAATAGTACAAGATAAGTTACCAAGTGGACAAATAAGTCCATTGGCAGACCAAGAAAAACATGCTGCGATAATTTAAACAATTTATTATGCTAATATTAAAGCAAAACAGGCTTTAAAGCCTACATACTAGAAGAAAGAAGAAGAAGAATTATTTATGCTGTCTACAATTGATTTCTCAAAATATTTAACTAAAAGTGATTTAAATAGCTGATATTAATTATCAAATTTATCAGTTTTTAATTTATTTTTCATTACCCTGTTTTATTCTGATCATGTTTTATTATAACCTCCCTGTAAATTCAATTCTCTGATGTAACTATCGAAAAAAAGACCACAAGCGAACGAGGAAGAGGGCAGGAGGACAGACGAAAAACGAAGAGTATTCAAATAAATCTTGCACATGCAATGAATTTCATTCGAATCAAGTATATTCCCACGAACGTCCACACATTTTACTTGTTGGCATTCTTCTGTCAGGAATGTCATCTGATGGTACGGTCGTACGATCTGGTCAAAGTGGTAGTGAGCCCCAGATACCATGCCACGGGTCTACACTGTGTCCCATGAAAAACAGTCGACTCACCAGTCGTTGGTTTTACGATAAAATCTATTGCTGAATAAAATGCGCTGTATACATATCTGAGCAATTAAAATGGATACAATGTATCTGGATAACATTAAAAATTTATATGGTTTTCAGTCCAGAAAAGTAAATTGTCAAATCTATTCAGTTTTGTGCATACGATTAAATACGGATGTTATAGCTATGTCACGTTGTTAAAGAAAGTATAATACCGTTAATATATTTATTATAATTAATCAAATGTATTAAGTGATCAGTTAAATGCAAATTTATAGTATAAATAATAATTTATGCAAGAAATGTAAGAATTGATACTTTTTTTCATCGAATGTTTAAGTTACCAACACGACCACGCAGACTAGTACGCTAATTCTATGAGAGAACTAAATACATTTTATACGATATTCTTTCTTTTCTTTCAACAGTACTACTGAGATAATAAAAATAAAAATTATTTTTATTTTTATTGCTCAACAAGCCATGTAGAGATATATTCTTCTCCATTTAACTCCGATCGTTTTTTTTTCAGACATGAACCATCTTTGTCTTATTTGTTCTTTTTCTTCTTTTCGTGGTTGGTCTTTATTTTAGGACCATTTTTGGCATCCTTTGGTGGCATGATGATTTTATTGTCTATACTTCACTACCATATGTCACTGCATTTCTTGTCACCTTATAAATTCTTATTTCTGTTTTTGTCAATACATACTTGAATTCTATTACTGATTTAAGACTTTTCATTTTTTTATTTTCCTTTGCCAAATCTGGCTTTTAGTTCTAACTCTTCTTATCGCGTTCTTCTATAATAACGCCAAGATAAGTAAAATGGTCTACTTTTTCGATTTTATATTCTTTTGTATTCTTAGATGTGCCATCTTGTTTTTGCTCCGTATTTTCGAGTAACATATACTTTGATTTATTCTGGTTTATTTCTAGCTCAAAATATCTTATGTGATTCCCTATTTTTTTCATAACATCACTTTATTTGTTTCTAGCTTTCGTTAATATTGCGAGATCATCAGTAAAAGTCAAGCATTGATAATCGTTCTTACAGATGAATTCCATAGTTTTTACTGTTTTTTCTGATAATGCTTTTCAGTACCAAATAAAAAAGCTATATTCAGTGAAATGTAGCAGAGTCTTGCTATTTTTACTGATATGAAACCTATGTGAAAACCTATCCCATACAGTAAGTTTGCAATTCTGGATCTACACACGGAGACTACATCTCCCATCAGGAGGGAAGACAAGGGGGAGGTCGTATGCTAATCTCACCATGTCTACGTTAGTCTGGAGAACGTCAGTTTAACACAGCGGTTTATTGCTAGCTGAGGAATTCAGGAAGTCTTTACTAGGCCAGCCACCAGAACCACGTCTGGCCTTGGTACTAGGTGCATAAACCTCGATAACTCTCTCGAAGCGCTCTTGTGATCATTCTTATTACAGTGTATATAATATACTGCCTGTGACCTCTTGTGGTCGTCTTAACCATATCAATACATTCCCTTCTCTCATTTCTGTTACAGTTATTTCTATTTTCTTCATAACTTGATACCTAATACTGTTCTGAAGTTATTTTTTTGTGGCATTTTAAAGTAATGGCTATTTAAATGGGAATTAAAGGTTAAAGTACGTTTATTGACGTTTAAATTTCCACTTCGGGAATCGTTCTCAAAATACAAATATTAGTAAATTGATTTGTTAATTATAATATAAATTGTAATTTACTAGTCTTTGTATTTTGAGAACGATTTCCGAAGTGGAAATTGAAACGTAAATAAACGTACCTTAATCTTTAATTGTGGCTTATTCCCATTTAAATAGTGATACTATTTCATACTTGATACCTATATAATCGCAGGATGATACTTTTCCCTTAGCTAAGCAGAGCGAAATCCTACTTTCAGGTCTACCTGATACTGGTCTCAATTTGGTGATTTTCTGGTTAACTGCTTCTGGATGTCTCCTTTTTAGAAGTCCCATCCATCTAAGTCTGTGTGCTATGATAAATATGACGATGTCTTCACCTTTTAAGAGTTCTTTTACTTCATGGTTCATTAGTTTTCTAAATTCATTATTACCTAAGTTTAGTGGACCTGCTATTCTCCGAATGATTTTTCTCTCTTAAATCCTCAGTATTTCTTTATCTTTTTGTGCCAGGCACATTACTTCAGCTCCATATGTGATTACTGGTCTAATTACTACTCTGTAAATTTTTAGTTTAGTATTCTGAGTAAGTCTCTTATCTTTAAACAAGTTGT